TCTAGTAACCAACAAAGCCTTCCAGTTTCGATCGTTTTCACAGGTTCGACCGCTCGTATCAGCAAGAAATGCAGACGAGAACACTGACTTACCATGCGAAATGAGGCGCCAACGTCAGTCTGTTGGTAACGGTGATTACTGACGTCAGTAATGACTAGTTCAGAGCCTCATACTGTGAGCCTGCGGCCGGTTCCAGAACCACTGCCTATATGTTGCGTCAGCCTGACGCCGTCAGGGATACCTATCCGTTTGTTTTGGAGTATGCTTAGCATACTATGCTACGTTTATACTCCACCGTGTTATGCTTGTGGGAATGCAGCATTTCCCGCTCGAATATATTGATCATGATGCGAACTTCACATTGCGAAGTGCCATGCAATAACTGAAAGTTTCAGTTCGAAAGTTTCGGGCCGAAACCGCAAGCTGGGCCTTCGCCTTCGTCTACCTGTCGCCATTCGTTCAGTGCCGCATCCCCAAAGTAAGATTGGACTGGAAGTGAACCACGCAGCGATGCTTTCAGCTTAGTGGCGACCTTACCTCATCATGTGGCCGACGGCCTCCTATCAAGATTTGTTACCATCAAGCAATATGCAGTGAGCAAAGATGTTATCTATAGGCTCCGCAATGGTGGATTATTACAAAAGGAGGTTGATGTCGCCCAAGGTCTCGAGAATATTGCACTCTTACGGCGGAGAACCACATACGATAATGTTCTCACGAGATGCCGTAACTCGTTATATCGTTACGGCGAGGATCTTAACAACCTCCCCAGTGCCGAGGAAGCTATACGGTATAGCCTATACCCAAACCTGTGTATGGGATGTCGTACTATATCTTGAGAACATGTTTCATAAAAGATTTCAATATAAATCGATAGAGTCTATGCCGCGAGCTAGCGGGTTAGACAGTCGACGGCCCAAACGGGATCTTGAGTATCGACCATACCAGGCGCGTATGTAAGCGCATCAACGCTACCCACAACAGTGGCTACATCGTGGCACTTATAAACGGTATGGGGTTGGTTATGAATATGGTGGTAATGAGCAGCACTAGCCTCAGCCAGCTGAAGGATCTATTCATGGGCCTCAAAGGTCGTATATCAATCACCCCTGGTGGATCATTGACAGTGTCCGCTGATAACTGCTGCTGTGGACAGCAGTCGGAAACACTGAAAGACCTGATCTCCGAAGGATGCGGCATCTCCAAGCATCTAATAACTACTCAGTTGGACGGCTTCCACGCCTGTATGCGGCTGGTGAGGTCTTGTGATCCTCGCTGTCCTATGTTCTGCCAGTTCGCGAGGGACTTATCAAAGGCTATGTACATGGTATCAACCGGGGACCTGGAATCACTGCGTGCTTCTCGAGCACAGCGTGGTCACAAAAATCCCCCCTCGAAGGAGGAGCTGCGACGGTCAGTTAAAAGATGTATATCCGCTCCTCCCGTCTTGAGAGAGAGAATCACCCAAGTTGCTCATACGTACTATGAGATCGACAAGCAGGTGGAGAAACAGCGCAGTGGGAAAGAAGATCTGAAGTCGCGAGCTCTCCTTACAAGCTCATTCTGGCCGTCCTTGGCGGGTCTCCTGGGCCATGTGGATCGGAACTGCCTGAGCGATGGTAAGCCGGACGTTTATGTCCGAGATAGCAACGGCAACTTGATCTGGAGGCGTGGCAGTTCGAAATCGGAAGCGAGACATAGTAGCCTATTACGAGATTTCTTCTGTCTGTCGCGCATTTCTGCCGACTATGTAGATGCCAAACTGCTCTGGAGAGTATGCTACAGCAATCGCTCCCTATTGCACGAGTTGACCTCAGTCAAAACGATGCCCATACCGTTCTCCGCTCGTGAAGTTAGCTGGGCCTGTTCCGACTCTTCCCAGATCCACGTGGTCTTCGGGGACAGTCCTGTGGTTTTCGGTAGCGAGTACCTCCGCAAACAGGACTCTAAGCTTCCTGATTCGGTATTCCAACAATGGTGTGATGATGACGGAGACGAGGGCGATGAGGGTCTAATCTTAGCCGGTGAAGACGACCTCGGTATTGATGTCTATCGACAAGTCACTAATTTCGAAGATATCGATGTGAATGATGATGGTGATATTGTTGTCGATGGGACACCTAGTAGTAGTGGCATTGCCGATGGTGAGGAATTTGTGGCTCTGTGTAACTCACCACGGAACAAAAAACATTTGCAGATTAGTGGTGTGAGGTCGAGAATAATATCTATTCCCTTGGATGGTTGGACTGATCTAGTGAAGCAGAAGATTAATGACATAGTCGCATCCATGCCTCGGGATCATGTGCGTGAGGAGTTCGTATTGCAGCAGTATGATCGGATGATACTCGATGAGATCAACAGTGCTATGAAGAATGAGGTGGAGGCCGTACCGCTTCATAGGATCTCATTTAATGACCTCAAAGCTTACCTATCCAAGCTGAGGAATTACGAAACGGCCTCGGCGAGCACGATCCAAGGCATGGAGGCGCTCACTCGTCTGCGAGTGTCCCTCGATGGGGACGCAATCCACAAACCTCCTGCTAACCCGGCGATCATCGAGGGAGCAGGTGGCCCACCATCGCCTGTTCCCAAGCCGGTCATAACTGACCAGTTGCGACGCCAAGGCCATGGTACCTCTGTTCCTGCTTCTGCTGCCAAGCCGGGGTTCTCCGCGACGTCCAGTGGGAACGGTCAAGCTAAAGAGAACCGGAAGTCTAATATGATCTGCCGCTGGTGTCATATTCCTCTTTCAACGAGGGAATTCAACATGTACATTGATGACGGCAGCCGCTATGGTCGATGCCCGTGTGCCCCATTGCCTGATACGCTGACCGAGAAGGCAAAACTATACGCCCAAGAGCGAGTGAAATCTCTAGTAGTTGAGGATATCCGTGGGAAAGGTCGAAGATGCGGTATATGTATGTTGCCTATGATCAGCAGTATTATGGATATGACGACTGGACAGTTTCTGCCGGACCATGAACGCTTTTATGACTCGGAGAAGCGTTCGGTATGGTACTGCCCCGTTCGACAAAACCTGGACGCAGGGGGTTCTGCAGGACTTGAGGAATCTCAAGGTGCGGCGGTGGGAAGGAGCAACAAGAGAAGAAAAACCAGAATAAAAGGAGAAGATATCATGGTGAGAACAGTGGGGATAGTAATAATGAATTATTCCTTTTTAGAGAATAATGGATAGCAAATTTTGGACGAGAATGCAGCCATTTCAATCATGCTTAATGTTGTTGGGTTGAGTAAATTCGGTCTCGCACCTTCGATTCCTTTCCCTTTTCTCTTTTTTCTCTTTCTCTCTTCCTT